ATGGTCCAAAAATCAGGGGCTCTGTCTTCCCATTTGATTAGCAATCACTCCTTCCGTATGGGAAAAAACTTCACTCTTCTTTTTGAAACTCTCAGATCCTTTGATTTCTCTAACCACAGATTAACTCTCTCTCCCTGGGCTGTCTGCCTCCCGCACCCAACACTTAGATACTGAAGTTCCTCCGGACTCAGTCCTTGCTCTCTCACCAGACTTTCCTCTGAGGTGATGTCATCCATTTTCAGAGCTTCAGAAACACCTAATCCTAATGACACCTAAATTTTTATGTTCATCCCAGGGCTTCACGGAGATCTAGACTCCTATATTCAAATGTTCACTAGACATCTTGACTTAAATATCTCAAAGATATCTCAAGCTTAATCCATGCAAAATTGGAATATTACATTTCCCTCCAATGTTTGCTTTCACTGTACTTTCTCATCCTAATTTGTCTCAATTAATAAATATTAACAGTACTACATGTTACCCCTGCAGTTCTAGCAAAAATAAATAAATAAATTAGGACGCATCATCCTCAACATCATAAATTCTTTCCATTCTAGTTCCAAACTACTTTTAAAATCAGCCCAGTTATCCTCATTTCTACTGCCACCAACCTATGAAAGACACCACTTTTGCCTCTTAAATAACTTTTAATTTATTTTTCAATTTCCATGCCTGCCTTCCACCAATTCATACTCTGTACAACAGCCAAAATGATCTTTAAGAAATACAATGAACTTTATGTCAATCTCACATTTAAAATACTCCAATAGCTTCCCAAAACATTGCAAATAAAAGCCAAATCTTTTCTGAGATCCACAAAGCCCTTCATGATCTGGCCTTGCCAACCTCATCAAATTTCACTTTCTTATTTTCTTTCCCTCCCAGAACAAGCCAACCCAGTAGTCTGAAGCTAAACTCTATCCTCCTCCTAGAATACTTCATCTTCCATGCTTGGCCAGCATAGCTCCTATAATACTCAACCAGAGCTTAATGTCAACTCCTTGGGGACACCTTTCCTAGCCAGCCAGATTTTTTACTCAGTCTAAAGTAGATCCAGGCACTCCTCCACCTTATTCTTTCTCACAGTCTATTTAATCCTTCATAGCCATTATCACAATTATGTTGCTTACATTTTATTGTCTTCACCCCTCCCCTGCTATTTAAAAGTTCCTTGATTTTTATCATCCATTTTTAGCACTTAATTCTGCGTAGCTTTTATGTTTTGTTTCTGTTAGGTTCATGCCTGAAATATGAAGAAAGTTATTCACAAGTCTTAATGGTTATCACAAAGTCCTGACTGTTATTCCCATGAAGGGAATGTCTAGAGAAAAGCAAAAAAGGAATTTTATTCATGCAAAGCAAAACTGGTGCCACAAAATAAAGCTGAGATGAAAGAAGAAATAAAGAGCAAATAAAGTAGTAAAATTATAGGCATCTCTAAATAAGTATTAACTATGTAAAACAACACATTAGAAGAAAGAATTAAAATACATGACAAATATGTCAGTTATCATGTTAAATATAAATAAATTAATAATGATAAAAGAATTACCAAGAAGTTTAACAATTTAAAATATGTTTAACAACTTAAAAAGTGCATGAACCCAAGAACATGACTTGAGGATGTGCAATTTTATAAAGTAATAAGACTGAAAGGGGAAAAATCCAAATGTACAATCAGTGGGAGATGGCATATATAGACTCAAGAAAAATATAGAGAAAAAAATGACTTCATGGTTATCAGAGTGCTCAACAACTGTACAAGTTAAATTCTTCTTAAGAACAAATGGAAAAACTATAAAAATTGACCAATATCATATGCCATAAAGCAAGTACCAGTAAATAGGAAAGGTAATATGTTCTTTGATAACTATCAATAATCAAAATATAACTAGAAAATTGCAAAATCTTTGGACATTATAAAAACACACATCAAAAGGAAATCATGAGAAAAAATACTGAACGTAATGATAATGAAAATCCTACATATTAAAATTTGAAAAGTACAGCATGTAAAATGTATAGATTTAAAAGCATACATTCAAAAGAAAAAATGACCTGAAAGTAATAATTCAAGCATCTATCTCAAGAATTATAAGAACTGCAGAAAAGAAAGTAGTAAGAAGAAAACATTAAAGAAAAAGAACAAACAATAAATGATGATGAAAAAAAGATTAAATATGATTGAGAAGATAAGCAAAGCCAAACATTGAGAGACTGATAGCATTTAAAAATATATATATGGGCCAGGCATGGTGGCTCACGACTGTAATCCTAGCACTCTGGGAGGCCAAGGCTGGTGGATCCTTTGAGCTCAGAAATTTGAGACCAACCTGAGCAAGAGCCAGACTCCCTCTCTACTAAAAAAATAGAAAGAAATTAGCTGGACAACTAAATATATATATAATTAGTCAGGCATGGTGGCACATACCTGTAGTCCCAGCTACTCAGAAGACTGAGACAGTAGGATCGCTTGAGCCTAGGAGTTTGAGGTTGCTGTGAGCTAGGTTGACGCCACAGTGGCACTCTAGCTCAGGCAGTAGAGTCATACTCTGTCTCAAAAAAAAAACAAGAAAATATATATATATGAAAAAACTGCTACAATAATGAAGAAGAGACAATTAACTCATATCTGGAATAAAATAGAGGAGATGGTATAAATAAGATCCTATAGGTGTTTTAAAAATAATAACTATGATATAAATAACTTTATTCTAATAAATTTGGAAATTCAGAATAAACTTACTAGAAAATTCCTAGAAAAATAAAACTTACAAATTTGACAAAGGAAATAATGAAAACCTGATATAAAAATAAAGAACTGCACCAGCAATATAAAATTTTCTCCAAAACAAAATCCAGGTTCAAATATCTTTACTGGCAGGCTCAAGAAAAAATTAATCCTACTTATTTCCAGAGAACAACAAAATAGGATAAACTTTAATATATTGTATCAAATTGGATTTCCTTGATACCAAAAACCAATAGGTAGAGTACAAGAAGAGAAAAATATACTGTAGTCCAATCTCATTGTGAATATAGATGTGAAAATGTTTAAACATTTTGACAGATTATACCTAGCAATTGTTAAAAAGTATAATTCATCATGATAAAATTTGCTTTATACTAGAAATGTAAGGTTATTTTAACATTAGAAAAGCAATACAATTGGCTATATTAATAATAAAAGGAAAAAGTGTATACCACCTCATTGATACATAAAAAAGCATTTGATAATGCTTTTTAAAATCTATTCATGATAAAAAATAAAAATAAAAACTCTTGGCAAACTAGGAATCAAGTGGAGCTTCCTTAATCTGATAAGGGCTTACTCCAAAAAAAAAAAATATATATATATATATATATATATGAAAATCCACTGCAAGCATCTTATCAAATGGTAAGATTATCAAAGGTTTCCTTTGGACTCAAGAATGCCAAATATTACCACTTCTCTTCAATTTTGTACTAAAGGTCCTAGATAGCACTAAAAGGCAAAAAAACACAAATGAAAAAGAATAATGATTAGAAAGGTAAAATTAAAATAGTCATTATTCTCAGCTAACATAATTTCATATGTAGAAAATCCAAACTAATCTACACATTAATTAAAAGTATTTATAGCAACACTACATAAAAAAATAAGTTATATTTAAATGCCAGTATCAAAGAGTTAGAAAATATATATTTTTAAGTCACTATTTATAATAACATCAAAAATACTAAATGTCTGTATATAAATCTCACTAATATATGAAAGATCTCTAATGGGAAATCATAAAATTATGTTGAGTTAAAGAACACCTAAATAAATGGAGGAATATAACGTATTCATTAATTGGAGAACTCAATATTAAAAAATGTTGATCTTTCCAAATAACAATCATTATCAAAATTTTGACTATGTGTCTCTTGGTGTGTTACTTGACAAGCTAATTATAAAATTAGCTGCACAACAGGGTGACTATAGTTAATAATAATGTATTGTATATTTCAAAATTGCTAAGAGAGTAAAGTTCTAATGTCTCACCATAAAAAATAAGTAAATCAAGTGAGGGATATGTTAATTAGATTGATTTAATCATTCCACATGTGTATACATAGATCAAAACCACTTTTCACATCATAAATATATACAGCTGTCAATTAAATATGACATTAATTTTAAGAGGGAAATGCAAAGTCAAGAAAAGTCAAAAATATTTGAAGAGAAAGTGAAAGCACTTTTTAAAATCAGATATCAAAAACTATGTAACTATAAAACTATAATAAGATATAGTAATTAAGACAATGTGATATTGGAACAGAAATGAATACCCTGGCCAATAGAACACAATAGCTCAGAAACAAGTCTATGCATAAATAATCATAGGATTTCTAAAATCCTATGATAAAGGAGTAGAAAAAGAATAATTTTTTTTTTTTTTTTTTTTTATTTTTTGGTTGCCCAGCCTAAAGTGAGTGCCGTGGCATCAGCCTAGCTCACAGAAGCCACAAGTGAGCATGCCTGGTTCCCTATTCCAAACCTGACCCTCTTTTTCTGTTTTTTTTTTTTTTTTTTTTTTTTGGTAAATGGTGCTGAGACAACCAGATAACCCCAGGAGAGATTATTGGATGCCTACTTCACAACATACATTAAAATCTGTACAAGAAGAACCCTAGACTTAAAGGCAAAAGCCTAACAATAGAACTTTTGGAAAATAACGTTAGTGGTTATCATCTTCTTGTCTTATCAAAAATTTTATTAATTAAGATAGAGCAGCATTGACTACCAAAAATGAAAGATTCATAAATTAAACCAGATTAAAGTTAAGAAATTCAGATTGTCAAGAGGTAACATAAATAATGGTGAACACAGATTGTTACAATAGCTAAGAAAATAATATGTTTTAAGTGTGAAAATGGTATTGTGATTATACTTTAAGAGATGTTATATTATAGAGACATATACTAAAATATTTATGGATGAAATTATATAATGCCAAAATTACCTTAAAATAATCCAGAATTTAGCAGACCAGGTGGAGGTATAAATGAAACAAGACGGGCCATGAGTTCATAATTTAAAGCTGGCTATGTAGATGTTCATTATACTATTCACTCTTCTTTTGCATATGTTCCCATTTTCTATAATAAAGATATTAAAAGACAATATAAATAAAGTTTAAAAAGACACAGAGTAAGAGGTAACACCTATAATCAGTAATGAACTTATATCCAAAATAAATAAAAGCTCCCATAATCAATAAGGAAAAGCCGGAAAACCCAATAGAAAAATGTGCCAATGACTCACATAGATTCTTCAAAACAGATCAAATGCAAATGGACAACAAAACATATGAAAAGATGCTCAAACTCATTTATAATCAGAAAAATGTAAATTAAAAAACAATGAGAAATTACTATATACTCACCAGGTTAAGAAGAAAAAACTAGCAATAAGACATTGGCAGAGAAATGGAGGAACGGGGTTTCTCATACATGCTGCAGATTAGAACAATCACTTTGGGTAACAGTTTTGGATTATCTAGTAAAGTTGGCAGTAGACCCAGAAATTCAAATTCCAGATTTATGTCCTAAAAATCTCACACCTGTGTGCATCTGGACACCTTTAAGGGCTGCTTATAATAGCATTGTTCCTTTCAGCTTCATACTAAAAATAGATAACATGGCCATGATTTGTAAAATGAATAAATAAACTGAGGTTTATTTATTTAATGGAATACCAAATAGCAATGAAAATGTACAATCTGTAGCTACACTCACAACAAGAATAAATCTTACAAGCATAATTCATTTGATAAAAATTCAAACACAGGCTAAACGTTTACACGTCATTCAGGGTTGCATACGAGGAAGTAAAACTGTAAAGAAAAGCAGAGAAGAAATTACCATAAAAGCCTGGGATAATATCCTCAGAAGGTGGAGGAGGAGATTGTGATCAGGAAGGTTCTCAGGAGTTGCTTCTGGAGTGAGGGAAATGTTATATATCTTGACCTGATTTCATGGTGTTCACTTTATTATAATTTGTGCAGTTTTACAATCATATTTACAGAAAGTCTTATATTTCACATTAGCAGTTTAAGAAAGAGAAGAGTTATCCTCTCACTGCAGAAAGCTATACAGAACATCAAAAATCTTACTCTTAGGAATTTATTTTTCATGAGAGGTTGGGAGGTTGGTTTGGGCTGTAATTTTTTGGACATGTGAGAAGGAAATTTAATGAGAAATAAAAATGAGGCATTTTTACTGATGGACATGCCAAATTATAAAATATATTTTCAGAACCATGTCCATATTTTCAATTACTATTGTAAAGGGAATAGTTCGAACTAGGTTAACAATTCCCTTGAAGAAAGGCTTGTTTTAGTAAAGAAGAATAATTGTCAACTAAGCTATCAATTTAAATAAAATTGTAGACACTCTGTCTCTATTTTCTTCCATTCAGTTTCCTAATTTCCTAATTAGTGTCATTTGAATTGGTGAAAGTATATATCACCTGAGCCCCTCAGCTTCTCGTGCACATGCGCATTTTCTCTCTCTCTCTCTCTCTCTCTCTCTCTCTCTGTTATACACACCCCCACCACACACACACACACACACACACACACACACACACACACACACACACACTATTCTTTTGTATTTTGTTTGACTGTCCTATTTAAAAGCCCTAAATAAGCAGTATTAGTTTGCTAGGGCCACCATAACAAAATACCACAGACCAGTTGGCTCAGACAACAGAAATTTGTTTTCTCACAGTCTTGGAGGGTGGAAGTCCAAGATCAAGAGTCAGCAGCCTGCAGCCTTGACTTCTCCTGACACTTCTCTCCTTGGCCTCCAGATAGGCTGCTTTCTCACACTGTTCTACCATCGCATTTTTTCTATGCAAGCGCCTCACCTCCCTAGTGTGTCTCCTACGTTTTTTATGAAGACACCAACTATACTGGATTAGGGCCCTGCTCTTATGAATTCATTTAACCTTAATTACCTCTTTAAAGGCCCTATCTACAGATAGCCACATTGGGGGTTAGAACTTTAACATATGAATTTCGAGGCGACACAATTTAGTCCATAATGCGAGCTCTTTCATTTTGGCGATATTATCCCTAGCCATTCTGTAGAGTATTCAATGTCGTTCGATAAATTTCAAAGTTGGTAACTCCACTTCATTGCTCAGGAAATAACAATCATAAGACCTGTCGTCTACTCCCCTTGCCTTTCATTTGTAAAATACAGATAATACACTTAAGTGGATAGGATATGTAAAATGGGATATGAAACCTTTTAGATGTTCCCATTGAAGATTGTAGATCCTCACATTTCAAAAGGAACTGGAGGGGAGATTGGCAATAAATGACATTTCTTCCTAAAGACATCAGAAAGGCCTTTCTTCTTCCTTTTCCAAATATTCCTTGATAGATCCATCTGTTGTTTCTTTCTGATAGATACTTTGGACAAGGGTAGTAGCCCTTGAGAAGAGAATCCCATTTTCACATAAGAGGAAAGAGAGGACAGATAAAAATATGGATACTGTTAACAGGTCCCACTCACAGCCATCAGCAGAGCCCACACCTTCTTTATCTCATGCTTCCAACCTCTCTCCACTCACTTCAGTCTCCTTAGTGCTGAGTTACTGTCCAAAAAAATAAATCTTCTCATGCCATTTCCCTGCTTAAATATTTGAACGTTTCACTGTGTCCCATAGACTCGAGTCTAAATTTGATATGTTGGGTTGCAAATCCCTTTGTAATCAGACTCCAGCTTACTTTTGCAACCATAATTCTTGCTACTACCCATTCCATGCATGCTCTGATCCAACCCTATGGGACTCCCCAGAAGCCTCCAGTTTTGCTCATGTTTTCCTCTTTCACTGTGTCTATGCCCAGGACACTACTCAGCTGTAAGACAAGAGCTCAAAGGCCACTATGTGAGGTGCTTCCTTGCTGACCGAGGAAGGTTTAGGCTTGCTGCGTGACAAGTACACTGTTCTTAGTACACTTGGTCCACAGTACACTGTTCTTACCTTGAATGTAGTATTTATGATGTTATACTGTAATTGTTGATTTATATCCAAGCCTTACGCTGTAGGCATTGAACAGTGTCTTGTATATATTTGCAGCCTCTTGGCACATAGTCGCTTTCACTAAATATGGTTTTAATGTATAAATTAATGAATTCTTTCATCCTTTCAATAAATATGCACATAGATATTAAGGGTCCCCTATGAAAGAAATTCACCAAAGCTCTCAGAATACAACTCTAAGGTAGTTGATGTCTAGTGTGCCTTCATGGAGCTTCTAAAAGGGAAAGACACACATCAAACAACTTACTATGCAATTATTTTACTAATAAATTACACAAAGGAGGAAAAAAGATGTGATGTTATTAAAATGCACCATAAGTAGCTTGACCTTATCTGAGGAAAGGATTAAGCAATGTTTTCTTGAGAAAGTGATATTTGAGTTACCTCTTAAAAGAGAGAGAGAGAGAAATAAGAAGTTAGCTAGGTCATTGTATCCAAAATTCAGTTAAGTACAGATGACACAAATTATTATTACACAGTATATTTGATTGAATAACTTTCTCTTAATTATAGCAAATAATCATGGTTTTATTTCTCATTTATTACAATGATATTAGATTTCTTTTGCTAGTACATTTTAATAAAAAGTGATTGATTTAAAGAAATTTAGTAAATTAAACAAAGATAATAGTACCAGTATACACAGATATGGCAAAAAAAAATTTTTAAAGACATTACATATAAATAACTGGTAGTAAATTCCAAGCAATGCAAAGAGGGAAAAGAAAAGACTTTCAGGTAGATGGGGAAAACATGTGAAGGCCTTAAAGAAGGAGCTCGGTGTGTAGAAGAAATGAGAGAAGGTAAGTGCTGAAGCCCTGCCTGAATGAGGCTCTGAGCGAGAAAGGGAAAGTGTTGGAAGGTGAGGCAGTGGACATCAATCGGGAAAATAAAAGTAACAAGAGAAGAATGTCTTAAGAACTCTCATATAGAAAAGGAGGACAAACAAATAACAGAAAATTGAGAGCGAATTAACAGGGAGGTTGAAGAAGAACCAGCTTAGTGTTGTATCAGTCTAGCCAAGGGAAAAAGTTTCAAAAAGGGAATGATCAACTGTGTCCAACTGTGCTGAAAAGACGAGAACCCAAAAGCACTGACTGATTTAACAACATGAATGCCATTCATATCCTGAGCCAGAGGAATGATCATGTCTAAGGTGTCTGAGATTTCTCTTTATCTGGATTTTGGATTAATGAAAAAAAATGAATCTTAGGCAGAAGATAGGCCTTAATCTGTCTCCAGTGTTACAGCCCTAATTTTTCAGACAAACATATTCTTTAAATTTCTTTCTTTGGAAATGGATTACATAAAAAGATCATAATTTCTTCTTTCACTAATTATTCATGATTTCCTTTGAGAACAAATTAAAATTCCTTTACTAGATGTTTGATCCTGGGCAAGTCATTTATCTGTCTGAAAGTTCAGTTTCTTCCTCTGCCAAGTGGGGAAAATTATGCCCACAGTGCATAGTTTTTGTTAAGTTTAAGAATGTACAGCCAGTGCCTGGCATAGAGTAGGCACTGCCAAGTAGTGTGGATGCTCAGTAAGCTCCAGTAGGACTCACTTCTCTCACCTTTGAATTCCATTCCCCATTAGGGGAAAGTGAGCCTAAGGATTTGTCAATATCACATGCTTACCATGAAGTTACACAGCCAATTCCACACAGGATCAATGGTTGACTATAAAACAGTGTGTTGGGTATCATCAAGTTCCCAAAATAATCAGTGCTCAGTAAACAAATACACACACACACACACACACACACACACACACACACACACATATATATATGGAGACAAGTAGCTCACTTTCCCAAAAAGGCAAATCCCTTAAAACAAATGATAACTCCATGAAACTCATGAAATCCTATTCTAATCCTGAGATTAACATTCAAGAGATGCTTGGTATGCTATAAACAGTGTTTAGAATATTACAGTTATTTTAACTTATTCTTTTTAGAATAAATCATATTTATAGAAGCACATTTATAGAAGGCTGGTGAAGACAATGTCTTGTGTAATAAATAGAATTGTTGTTTTTGCTCTTGTCAGTGAACACTTATTAAACACCCACTAGGTACTGGAGCTAATGGAAATGAATAAGAATTAACATATTTCTTACCCAAAAAGACATTTTTCAGTGACTTGATGTTTTTTCCTAGTATTTGGGGTAGGCAAATAAAACTGACTGCATCACATTAGAAATCAATCCGTTATCAAATGTAATGTTTTGCAACAGCAAACATTTTTAGATTATAATAACACACACACACACACACAAACACACACACACACACACATACACACACACATAGTAAAAGCATCTGAAATAGGCAATGTTCTATTATTCTAAATGTGCTCCCTGACTGAGACCTGGTATGCCAGCCTGAAGCAAATTATTATAGCCTAGCTATTAACTCCTAAAAATAGGGAGCTATAATGGAAACACTTGGAGACTAAAGAGTGGGCAAAACTACTATACCAACAATGGTGCAGCAATGAGAAATATTTGTATAGTGTGCCATGTCATGGTAGGGGGTATGTGGCAGACATCCCTGCCTTGTGGCACCAATCTCAACTTCTAGTTCAATTTTTTTCTTTTTCTATAGACTTTTTAATAAATACACACTTTTGAAAAGCAAAATCTCTTTCTCAGTTCTTTTCTCTCCTCTCTGACAAAATTCTCAGGTCAGATTGCTCCTTTAAGGTTGAACCCACCCCACCAATAAAAAAGAAGTGGCAGCATTTGTTGAAGCAGAAGCTATGAGAAAAAATTACTAAAGTGATCTGAAATGAAAATGCCAGAATTGTGACCCTTGGCAATTTTGCAGAGCAATTGTTGAGTGACTATATATGTGAGTGCACACTTTCTAATGCAACCCCCTAGGTTCTGACCATTTCCCAGAGTATCACACTATTTTCTTTGAATTTCTGCCAGGGCTATCATACATTACCATCTAAATTTCTGTTGTAAGACAGCTGTTTGGTATCTTGTAATTGAGTGGGTCAGTAAAATTTGTATGTATAGCTATTAGACATTGTCCAAAACTTTAAATAAATCATTCTGCATAGCGAAATATTTTTAAAAGAAGTTTGTAAAATATTAAAATATCCTATTTAGCTTGTAGATTTCAAACCACAGGCACAAACAGATAACTAAAAATTTCATCTGAAATCATAGACGATAACGAATTGAGTGATTCAAATGTACCTCTATTTTAGATTGAGGTATAATTTTCATACAATAAAGTACAAAGACCTTGCATATAACAATTTGATTTGTTTTGACAAATGGATACACGTTCTTTTGTAATTCACAAATGTATTGTAATAAAGAACATTTCTATCATCCCAGAAAGTTCCTGCAAATTCCTAACCGCTCATTTCCCCCAACTCTCTCCCCACCAGAAGCAACCACTGATCTGATTTCTCTTGCCATAGATTAGTTTGGCCTTTTCTAAAATTAATTATGTACACTTAAAAAGTGTACATAAACACTTTTGTGATTGACTTCTCTCATTCCACGTAATGTTTTTCAAAGTAATCCATGTGTTTACATGTATCAGTAGTTCTTTCATTTCACTGCTGAGTAGTACTTTATTGTATATATTCAAACTGTTCAGTCATTGACTCACTGATGAGCATTTGAGTTGTTTCCAGTTTGGAGGCTATTATAAATGAAACTGCTATGAACTTCTTGAACAAGTATTTTTTAAATGCATGTTTTTATTTCTCTTGGATCAATACCTAGGAGTAGAATTGCTGAGTCACAGGGTGTATAATTATAACTTTAAAAGATGCTGCCAAATGTTTTTCCAAATTTGATATATCAATTTTACACCTTTATCTCCCATGTATAAGGTTTCTAATTGCTATAAATATGTATCAATATTTAATCTTATCAGTCTTTTAAAATTTAGGTATTCTATTAAGTACATACTAATTAATATCTCATTGTGGTTTCAATTTTCACAAGCCTAATGACTAATGATGTTAAACATACAAGGGCTGTCCAGAAAGCATCCAGACATTGTTACCATAATATTTCATATTACATGGCTGGATACTTTACGGACAGCCCTTGTATTTTTATGTGCCATTTATTTATCTCCCCTGGTAAGTACCTGTTCAAGACTTTTCTCCATTTATCAAAAATTGTGTTGTTTGAAATTTTATAAATTTATTTATGAAAGTTCTTTACATAGTCTGATATAAGTCCACAGTCAAATGTATATATTACAAATACTTTTTCCCAGTGCTAGTTTTTTGATGAGCAGAAATCTTTGATATTTATAAGGTATAAATTATCATTTTTTTCATTTCAGTTATTGCACATTTCAGTTCCAGAATTTCCACATTTTAAAGTTTCTTTTTCTTTACTGGGATTTCACATTTGTCTGTTTATCGTGTTTATCCTTTCCTTTAAATTCTTAAACGTAGTTAAATTGCTGTTTTAAACTCTTTGCTAGTTCCAACATCTCTGTTATCTATGGGTCTGTCTGTATTGCCTTTATTTCCCTGAATTATGGATCACATGATATTTTGCGTCTGTGCCTATCTAGTAATATTCCATTTCATACTGAACATTATGGACACAATGTTGTTTAACCAAGATTTTTTTTTTTTAAATCTTACTTTAAAGAGTGTTGAGTGTTATTCTGGCAGGAAATTAATCTAATAGTTGATCATCTTGATTGTTAAAGGAGGTCTATATGGTTTCTTATTCTAACTCTAGACTAGCCCTGTGTCTAATACATAAACTTTCAGGGACCTACATTGACTGTTCATGGCATTTAGCAAAACTCCAGCTGGTCACAGCACCTACCTCTTCAGAAATGTGTGACCTCTGGAATCTATATTTACTTTCATAGCTCCCCAGCCTCACTAAGCCTTCCCCTGTGTATTCACAGCTTAAAACTGATTCCTAGACAGATTCCTTTTTTGCACAGTTCCTCTCTCTGTGGGCACTAGCCTTATCAATTCCCACCCACCCAACAGCTTTGAACTCCAATTTCTGCCTCCTGAACACAGCAAGACCATCATGCTCTGCTTGGGCTCCATCCTCCTGCTATATAATCTGGAAATTGCCTCCAGGCAAAAAGTCATGGTGATCATGGGCTTACTTGGTGTGTTTCCTTTCTTGGATCATGGTCCTACTTTGCCTCTTGTCAAATGTCTAAAACAGTTGTTCCCGATATTGTGCCTAGTTGGATAGCTGAGTTGATAGGTGAGTGCACTATCCATTGTCAATTTCTCTGTCATGGGAACCCTAGAGTCCTTCAAGATTTGTTATTCATGACAGTTAATGTGTTCAGCAACACAACATCTGGATGTTTGTCAGTAAAAGGCCAAGACACATCAAAAAGCTTAAAGATTTTTGCTTTTGTTTTTTTAATAAAGACTCCATTTTTTAAACCCTGCTTCTTTAGTTTTATAAACCTCACTGCATAACAGATTCCTTCTGCATCACGCCCTTCAGCTAAGTGGATTTTCCCATATAATATAAGCAACTTTTTAAAAGTCATCAGTACTTAAAGAGAGCCAAATTCATTGTATATGCTCAGAAAAAGAAAATATGGGATGTGATTTTTGGAAATGAGATCTGACCTGAGGTGCATATGACATTTGATTTCACTTCTTTTCTCCCTTGATAGAACATCTCCGATGTGGGCATTTATATATTCAAAGTTGGAGGTGGAATCTGGACTCTTGACTTTTTATAGTTTAAACTACAAATATCCCAAGTTTTCCTTCACTAAGCTCAAGCTGTTTTGCATCCCACTTGTGTGTATACTCACACATACCTTCTACTACCCTCCCACATATACACAGCCATACAGATACATAAAAATGGCCCTGTGAGAGCAGGCCCATCCCCGCCTTTGCCAAGGATGAAGGTGGACAAAAAGCATAGCACAATTCAAATTAGTGCCAAGTCCATTATCATTACTACTTTTTCACTATTCCATCATGGCTTAATGTTAGCTGGTTTTTCTAACATGGCATACATTAAAAAGAAAAAAAAATCTGAAGAATACAAATACAATTTTACTCATTTAAATTCAAACCATTCAAAAATAGGATATGGCTGGGCATGGTGGCTCATGCCCAGCACTTTGGGAGGATGAAATGAAAGAATAGCTTGAGGCCAGGAGTTCGAGACCAGCCTGACTAACATAGTCAGACCCTCTTCTCTACAAAAAATAAAAATTAGCAGGCATGGTGGTGCCCTCCCGTAGTCCTACCTATGTGGGAGTCTGAGACAGGAGGATCTCTTGAGCTAGGAGTTTGAGGTTGCAGTGAGCTGTGATGATGCCACTGCACTCTAGCCCAGGTAACAGAGCGAGCCCCTTTTTCCAATAAATAAATAAATAAACAAAAATAGGATCATCTTTAGAGACAAATATAAGAGACTATTTGGATAGAAATGCACTTTTTTGTTGTTAGAGGGCAAACTCTGCTCCTCGGCTTCCTGCCCTTGTCAGTGGTGGCAGGCTGGGGGTGGAGGTGTGTTAGGAGCAGTCATGGTTACAGATGTTGGATAAAGCCCCCTGGACAGATGCCCAAATATGGCTGAATCGTGTTCCAGGAGAAAATAGCTAAAATTCAAATATCCTTTTTACTAAGAAACCTTCAAAGGAAGGAAAGAACAGACTGAAAAATGAGCTGACACAAAAAGGCAGCAGAGGCAGAGCACAAGAAAGAGAGATCAGGAATAAGAAATCCCTTCATCTAGTTTAAAGTCCAAATGACCCTTGGGAAGTAGACCTTCTTTACGAAGGCAACTAAACTTATGTGCGTAAATGAGGCAGAGGGGGCACTGTGGGAGTCTCCTTACCATTCACACATAGTCCCCACCCAGTGACGGAAGGCTGGGCGCCCCACCTGGAATCGCTCCATGAGAGCCCTTGTCATCCCTTCCTCAGTCTGCAGTCCTTATTTCAGGTGGTGCACCAGGTAGCCATTCCTGTCCTTGATCCGTGATCTGCCCGTGCTGCCTCTGGACCTTCTTTTTGGTTGCCTGAGCGTGGTAAACAAAGAGATTGAATAAGGAAAGGATTAAGAATGTGAGGCTAAGGGAATTTAAATCATCTCTGTAAATTCACAGAGCAAGAAAGTGGCAGAGGCAGAGTTCACACTGCACCAGGGTTCCCTGTGGTTCAAGGTTGTATTCTTTCTACCACACCTTATTCTCTTCCCTTGGGTTCTGAACGTTTTGGAACGGGAGCACGGTCTGTGTGGGTGGCTTATGTTTGCACAAATTGGCTTTCCAGACCAAACATTGGCTTATGTTTGTACAAAATCTTTCCAAAACCAAACATTAGCTTATGTTTATACAAATTGTACAAATTATAGTTTATGTCATGAGACAATGTCATATTTGTTATTCCTTAACAGCCTTTAGTCAAAGATTATGAAATTAAATGAACTTGAGGATTAAATCCAACCAATTCGATAAAATATCTAGTATAATACCTGGTTTCTCTTTAAGTGTCCAAAACTATATAAAGCTTTTATAAAGTTATTAGTCAATAAAACATATTACCCTAAAACTCTCATCCCTTAGTACCCATCGAAAGTTAAGGTCCCATTATTTATTTTAAAAGAAATTGAAAGAAATTAAAAAACAGAAATCCAGAAAGATATTACTTATCACTGCAAAAATCGTGTTTTCTAAGAAGTGCCATTGGCCTAGTTTTGCACCAAGGGGACCAGAATCGTGATGGTAATATTCACCTAGGGTGAATCCAGGGCTATTGTTAAGCCAGCACTGTCACGGCAGTACGGATTGTTAAAATATTTAAATAGTTCCATTTGACTGGTAAACAGCAGCTATAATGAGCAGTAACATGAATTAATAATAAAAATTCCAGCTCATGGTTTATTTCAGAAACCCAACACATGCTGTTATTCCAGAACACTTTTTGCTAGATCAGGCACTATGCACAGAGCTGAGGCCTGCTCCCAAATCATGCCATTTATTCTAAATATCAAGGTGGGAGAGAGGGTTATGCAGCCAAATTGAGAAGAACTTTGTCCCTGAACCTCCAGAAGAAATGATCATATTCTTCCCAAGAAGAGAAGCAAGGACCATGCTCAGGTAGTGAATGAAGAGTCTTGTAGAGCTATTGTCGAAGGCAGGTTCTGCAGTGGGGTTTCTCCAGTAAAAATTTTAAAGAGCGCTATTTTTTTTTTTTTAAGCAACCTGTTTCCTGGTGGGTGATGACCATGTCTGTGAGCCGTGAAAGGTCAGGTCATCTAAAAATCAATCCCAAACACATTGAATAGTTAGAACCTGGACCCCGAGGAGCAACAGTGCAGTCCTATTTGTCACACTCACCTAAAGTTTCCAACAGCCCTTGCAACTCCTTCCTGCCATGCTTGTCATTTCTCTGACTGCTGGGGACAGAGAGAGCCTGCTTGTCTCCCGGCCATCAGTAACTGCAATTGTACTCCCTTCCCTTTTCTTCTTTCCCCCGGTTTTTTGGTTTTTGCCTCAGTTAATAAGTTGGCACCTGGCAATCATCACCTCACCTGTTGGCCCAGCCTTCCCCTGGTTCACCCTCAGAGTGTGTACAGTTGTCTCCTGCTCCCCAGGGGAGCAAGGAGGAAAAAAGCCTAGGTTCTGGCTCTCAAATCCCAGGATCAACCAATCTCCACTCCTTCTAGCTCTCCCACTCCTTCTTCTCTCTCATTCCCTCTGGCATTGGTTTTTGACTAACCCACAGAGGGAGGAAGGAGATGATGGGAAAAGGAGGGGCAGAGAGCAGAGAAGTAATGAGGGAATCACAGCCCAGACTCGCACGCTGATCACGAACAGCCTCTAGGAGTAGGAGAGGACCACTGTCACCTAAAGACGGATGAGTGAATGGGGAAATCATCAGAATTGGTGGACACACAACTCTGCCTGGAACTTTGTTTATCTGGGAACTACATAAACAAAAGATCTGACCACCAAATACTTACTCCAAGATCACTTCTGGTGTATTTGCTCTGTCTGACAGTTGCCTCTGGAATCTTGTGCTCTTGGTCTTATATCTTTGGCAACAATGAAAGGAGGAATATTTTTAACTCCATAGATGGGAACAATCAGTTTCTGAATTGATTAGGAATCATGCTGAGAATCCATTTGATGAGAACTGGAGTACTCTTGAAATTTGCTGAAGACATTTTTGTCCCCTACTCAATAGCCATTTCCAGCTCTTTCTTCCTTAATATCAAAGACCTAAAGTTCTAAGGGTAAAGATGCTAGAATCTTAATATACTTAATTTTATTTTTTCTTTATTAGGGTGTAGTCTAGAAACATTTTTCTCCCAAATAAAAAGGATATCTGCTAGGATAAAAGCTTTGTCACTCCCAAATCCCATCCCGTCCCAATCTACAACCTTTCTTTCTATCTTTGACATATCTGAACCTAGGACTGATGCTCAGAACTGGGCTGTAGCCATCCTCTGACCAGCAAGGCAAACCAGTGATGCTCTGTGGATGACAAAGCAGAAAGACAGAGGAGGCCTGGATCTTGGTGAGTTCTTGAGTTGCTAAATCAACTGGGAAAAAGCTGCCTCTGGATTTCTTATTATGTGACACAAATAAATTTTATCTTTAGTGCATTTTTTTTTCGGTGTTTTGTTACTTGGAGATGAAGGCATCCAGGCAAACTAATGCTCCTTGAAGAAACCCCACACTGACCTGTGGCATGCGAAAGCACCCTATTCCCATTCATTTTGAGTCAATAGATGCTTGGTAGACCATCAATAGGAGATAATGATTACCCCCAAAAGGAATTGTGGAATTTGAAAGGATCATGGACATTCAGAAACAGATCGGATTAGACACATACTCTCCCTCCTACCTCATCAGCAATCTCTGCTGCCAGATTGTTCCTGGGTAGTCATCAAGATTTTGTTCATGCCTTCCAGAAACAGAGAACTCATCATCTCATGAAGCAGCCCAGTGCTCTTCTTCCCCTTTCTATTTATTATTATTTCTATTTCTATTATTCAATTTTCTTACCAGACCATAGGGCAACACATATTATTAGGGGAAAAGAAGAATTCAGTGACATTCACTCTTTCATTAACACACATTTGTAAAATGCCCTGGTCTATAGTGAAAACCACTTTAGACTTGAGAAAAGATAATATATTGACTAATTTTATGTTTTTCTCATATTTTTTATTATTTATTGACACATTTTTTATTGATTTAAAAGCAAAGAAAGCAAACCAAGATTAATGCTATATAGTGAATAACACAATTGAGGATACTAATGTTATCAATAAAGCAGCCTTGCTGCACTCAAATTGTTAATTAATGGGATATTAAGAGTAGAAGACAAAAAGAAAAAAATAATTTATAAAATATAATAAAAACCACCATGAAGAAATTTTATGATATTTTTACTCTTTAGTCAAGGAAGAAATCTGCCGGGGGAAAAGAAAAAACCTGACTACATATTTAAAAATGTATATAACTAATGTAATATTAAACATAAATATTTGTCTAAGTATCTCTTTAGAAATTGGCTTCATTCAGCAATTTATGGCCTTAGATAATTTATGTATTTATTTATTTTTTATATGTCCCCATTTTATTTTGATTCTTAAAATAATAGTAATAAGTTCAAAATAAAATTCACCTAACAGATATCCTTGTTTATCAATTTTATTTTGATGTTTGCTCAAAGGTCATTAAAATGTTTTCAATGACCCATGGGCTGATTTGGGATTTCTTGTGTGTCTGTAATGTCATATTGAAATATTAGATTATTCTAAAATTCCAAAATTTTTAGCAAAATGTAATGGAGCTATTCCACTGTTATTCCATCAAGCGTGAGATTGCAAAATTGCAGTATATCTTTAGGCCATAGACATGAACCATACTATATGAAAATAGAAAACAAGCTCAAGAATTTTGTAGTATAGTCATTGATCTTATAAAAGCATCTGTCTGCTGGAGCAAAGCTGAATCCTGCACACCAAAACAGCCTTGCACTTATTTAATGTTCTCTCAATCTTCTACGACACATGTACCTATCTTTTAAATCTGAAATAAGATTATGTCATTCCAGACTATAAAATTATCTCCAAAATACATATTGTGAATTACTTGTTTTGGCAAGGTAATAGACAAGATAACTTGTATTGCATTTTTCTTTGATTCTATGCATTTTACACAAAAACATCTAGTTGAATGGGATAAAAAGAGGCAAACAGCATATTCACAGTCATGTATCATAACTGAAAGAAATCTTCTTAAACAAGGTATACATGTAGACGAAGGCTTGGAATTCCACCACTGTCCAGTAAGTGCCAGAGAGTATATTACCCTATGTGTTTTTCTTTATATTTTTATGACTAACATTTCAATGCCACTCTACCATGCTAAGGTTCTGCTTGTGTACAAACAATTCAGGTTTTATGATCTTACAGTTCACGTGAATCGAGAGGTGTTTATTTGAAACAAATTATGTTTGGGTAGCAGAATTTCCAAAAGTAACATCTGTGAACTTACTTTTATTTTAGCATCATATGTTTTATGTGATTCTCATTTTTAGTATTTTGCTTGCCACTACTCCAAAGAAATAATGTTCCTTGGAAAACATAAAACAGAATGCTAGGTGCTATGTGGTATGTATTTTTTGCTTGTTTTTTTGACCCTCCCATGCAAACAAAATGGTTAATTTTGTGGCTAAGTACTGCCCATACTAAACTTTAAAAATGTCACCTCCAGGAACATCACTTTTCTCTGGTTGATATTCTTTATGCTCTAATCTAAAAGTCAAATGAGCATTTCTAGGCAAAAGAAATAAAAGCTAGGGTGTGCCAGTGGGTTTATTTTTAATTGGAAAAAGAACTCCTCTTTCTTAAAAGTCAGGTAATGATTTCAGTGTGTTTCTAAGCAAGACCTGAATAAAATATTAGACAATCATGCTCAAAAGCTATTAGTGGTTTTCTAATCTAATACAAGTAGAGGGAGTTTTGCATGTAATTGGGGTTTTCTTTATTTGTAGCTGTAGA